AAGGACCTATCCAGTTTCATATAAAAATAAGAATACCATCAAGCTCATTTGCTCTGTGTGCTGCATTTCACGTGCTGGACAATCTGCTTTAAATGCCTCAGCACTGAGGCTCTCCCAGGTCACAAACCCAACGCTGCCTCCACTGGCACCCAAGCCTCAGCCCAGGGCAGCAGCTGCTGACACTGCTGCAGTGGTGTCCCAGCAAGTCAGCCCGGGCTGCGCCTGCTGCGCTCAGGGTGCACTTTTGTGATGATTCTTTGGGCATCTCAAGGGATTTCCATCCTCCTCTCTGCAGACTGGCTCCTTGCTGTATTTCAGAGGCTGCAGCTTCTGCTCTGGACTGCTGTTTACTGTGGAAAAACACACTCCACAGGTCAAGGCTTCAGTCTGACAGCTCTGGAAGCACATTTAATGTAACAGTGAAACCAGGATCGGTGCAAACAGCCACCGAAAGGGGTACCCAGCACACTCCCACCTCTCTCCCCAGCTCCAGTTACCAATTCTCGGCCTCTCATGGCAGCACTAGCACTAATGAAGGATGGGCCACGTGAAAGAAGTGAATCAAGCAACACTCATTCCTACTATATTTGCTCCAAAAAAACAACACATTTTCATGGATGTCACAGAATCATTAAGACTGGAAAATACCCCTAAGATCATTAAATCCAACTGTTAACTCAGCACCATCATTTACCAGTAAACCATACCCCAAGTGTCATATCCACATGCCTTTAAAACACTTCCAGGGATGGAGATTCCAACAGTTCCCTGTACAGCCTATTCCAAAGCCTGAGTACCCACTACCACTGATAAAAGTTCTACTGAGAGAAGGCTAGGCAAGGGTGGGAGAAAGGGTCAAGAACACCTGCTGGCAGCAGATAATGTAGAGACAGGAATGAAAATAATCTGAGGGTGAACTACCCCAACAGTTTAAACCACCAATTTTCCAGTATGTATTCCCAAATGTCTCTGCCTCAGTGACTGGAACCAGTCTAACACTGTCCATCAGCTGAGAGATGACTTAGAGAAACCTGAATTGCCATGGAGCCCAAGAGAGTGCCAAGGTCTTTTAGACCAGCTTTGATAAGGAAGGATTTGTGTCAGGGAAGTGTATCTTCAGCTCAAGTTCAGATAGATCACATGAAGTACCAATAACTTTAGTTTCACAGATCTGAGTTTTAAGGTAAAGAGGCAAGCAGGGGAGATGTTTTAGCTTTACAGCTTGCCATATTTTAGCACAACGTCCATTTCACCAATTGAACTATAACTAGCTAAAAATAAAGTGTTTCAATAGGTACAGGCAAGAAACCAACAAGCAATTCAGACATGCCTGAATTACCCTTTCTCCAACAGCCTGCCCCTACTACACACATACATTGAAACATGGAAGTTAGGTTCAGGTGAACACAAAGCTGGTGGCCAGCTCTCATACAGCGATCTCCTTGCAGATCACTCTTTTGCTGGTGTACTTGATATCTCCACAGGTAAAGGTTCCACACTCCCTCACTAGCCCCCATGCAGTGCAGATCAGATTCACAGGGAGAGCCTAGGAAAGGCTCACATGCTGCATAACTAAATGTTTGGCACTCGAGGCCAGATCCTGGCCTTCAGGCAGTCACTGCTGAAATACAGTTGGCAACTTAAGACAACTACAACTTTGAGCAGCCCTGTCCTCTCCTCTGTCAGAGACTGCCACCCACAGAAGCAGGCACATCCTGGCTTTTTAGGGTGCAGTAGGTAATACAGTTGAAGCAGTACAAGAATTCTGCTGTGGCTGTGTCATTCTCCAACTCTTCAAAGCTCCATTCTTTGCGCGGGCTCTGGCACTCAGTTCACCATACAAACTGCTGCTTCAACTTGAAGGCCCAGTGATCCAGTGAAGAAAATGAGCTGGCCCTCTGCACAGTTGGACAGGTGCCAAAGCTAGTGCATGGAAAGGACCAGAACAACTTTAAGCACCTGAGAACCAGCAGGATATTGTGCAAGGATACACTCTGTCACTGCATTGTATGTAGCTTAGATACTGGAGGGCTTGATCAAGACTACTTGCAATTTAAAGCTCTTGTAGCTAGGAGGCCAATAACCTCTCATTGCCTAGCAGAAGCCTGAGGAGGCTTTCATGTGGAGGAAAAATTTAATTTACATAGAAAGAAAATACTATCTATTCACATGGTCAAGTGCTCAGAGACTATAACTTATAAAGGAACTGCCCATTCAGAAGCTCACGAAAGCCCCCTCAACCAAAAGTGAAAGCTGATGGTTTGATTTTGGGGTTTTGTTTCCTCCATTTTAGTTTTGAGTGGTGAGAAGTGATAAAAGTTTGTTCTAGTAAATGGTACAATTAATAAATTCAGATATGTAAACAAAGTTTAGAAAATTACCATGATTTGTTCACTTGCAAATGCAGAGGAAGATTTACTTGAACATAATCAACCTTCATTAAAAAAAGATGTCCTTGCACAGAAATTCCAGTATCTAAGCTTTTATAATATACCAGCTATTATAGCTGTGAATTGAAAAGCAAACAAGCCCTGGAAAAATCAGCCTTTTAGCTAAGAGCTAATGAAAAACTGAGTTACTCAGATGACACCCAAAACAAAGGAGAGCAAAGTCACCTGATACATGCCAGCATGTGGCTTTACAGCACATTTTAGTGTATTGTGGGCAAGAACTGTTAATGCCACACACATACAAGACTAATTATTAGGTACTTGCATGTGTTTTTTTGTTATAAAACTTTCTCAAATAATCACATATAACCTCAACAATCAGCTATGCTCACTGAAGAGGGAAAGATGAAAAACATTACCAGAACAGATTATTAGCTTTCCACAACTGGCAAAAAAACCTTATCTAGAATAGCTACCACCACTTGTGCAGAAATGGTGAAACTATTACTAAGTATTTCTTGTGCAAATGATTAGCATAAAGTTTTATTCTATTAAGAGAATCCCAGCAGGCAATACCAGCTGGGAATCAAGTAGTACAAGTCCAAGCCATACATGAAATTTCACCATACTGTTCACAGGGAAGACAAAATCTGATAACGAACTGTTTCAGGAGTCTTTAAAGCAGCTCTCTATCTCTGAACCAGGCAAGGCAGTGTGCCACAAAGAGCCCGATCTCCAGTCATCACCCTGCACACACAACTGCGCTCTGCTGATAACTGAGACCTCTTGAACACGAGGAGGGTCACAAAAGACAAACCAGAGCATTTGGGCAGCAACCCCAATGGCACATCTCTGCCATACACTTCTAGTTCTAACACCCAAACAGAATCACAGAATTAATTAAGTTAGAAAAAACCTCTGAGATCATCGAGTCCAACCCATGACTGAATACCATCTTGTCAACTGGACCATGGCAGTATGTGCCAAATCCAGTCTTTCCTTAAACACCTCCAGGTTTGGCGACTCCAACACCTCCCGGGGCAGCCCATCGCAATGCCTAGTCACCCTTTCTTTGAAGAAATTCCTTAGTATCCAACTTAAAGCTCCTCTGGCATAACGTACAACTGTCCTGTCGCTTGCTGCCTGGGAGAAGAGGCCGATCCCCACCTGCCTACAGCCTCCGCTCATGCAGCTGTGGAGGGTAAGGCCGCCCGTACCGTGCACCACGGCACTGCTCCAGGTTAAACACCGCCGAACTGCTCAGCAGCTCCTCACAGGACACGGCTCCAGACCCTTCCCCGGCTCCGCTGCCCTTCTCCCCTCCTTACAAGACAGCAGAGCGCTAGCCAGCCCACCCACCAAAGCAAGAAGAGGAGGTCACGGGTGGGACAGGCGGGCAGGGCTCCCGCAGTGCCCGAGGGCAGGGGCGTCAGGACAAGCCCGACCTCCGGCAGCTCCGAGGGCCCTTCCCACGGGAAGCGGCCGCGGCCCTGCCCCACCAGGAGCCGGCTGGGGGAGGCGGCACCCAGAGGTGACCCCGGCGCTGACCTTGGCGGAGGTCGGGGTCCTGCAGCACGTCGTGGGCGCGGTAATCCTCCACGCCGTGCAGCCGCAGGATCTGCACCACGGCGTTGCTGAAGCCGCAGAGCGGCTGCGCCGGGCTGCCCTTCATGAACACCACCACCGGGTGCTCCCGCACCAGCCGCTCCACCGCCTCCCGCGACCCCGAGCCGCCGCCGCCGCCCTCAGCCTCGCCGCCGTCCCCGGCCGCCTGGCTGAGCGGGCGCCCGGCCCGGCCCCGCAGAGCGGCGGCGGCCCCGATCCGCCACGCCGCCCGCACCGCCGCGCTCATCGCCCCGCCGCCGGCACCGCCGCACCGCACCGCCCGCCCATTGGCGCACGGCGCGACGGGCCGCCGGACAGCTCCCTCCCCATAGGCGCAGGCACCCGCCAATCATCACCCGCAGCCAATAGCGCTGGACACAGCGCGGCTTGTCCCGCCCAGCAACCCTGAGGCGGCTCCGCTTCCCGAGGGGAGGGAACAGAGCGGCTGCGGCTGCATTGGGAGGGCGGCCTGTCAATCCAACGGGACACATCAATCCCGCCCTCCCGCGGCCGCGGCTGGCCAGGCGGCCCCGGGGCGGGGCTCCGCTCGGGATGCTCGGGGGCCATTGGCGTGCGGCTCCTTCCGTTTCCGGGTAGCGGCGGCAGGCGCGGGGCGCTGCCGGTGCGCCCGCCCGGGCCGTGAGCCACCGCCGGCACGGGCCGGCCGCGCTTCCCCTCGGCGGGATGGACGGGCCGCGCTTCCCCTCCTGTGCACCCCCGTCGGCTCCGCGGGCAGCGCCGAGCAGCACGGCGGGGAGGCGTGGCTGGGCGGCCGCTGCTGTGCTCAGCCTCTCCCGTGCTCAGCCTGTCCCTTCGGGGCCCTCGAAGACCCCCAGGCCGTGGTGCCGGCGCCGCCGGCTCTCGGGCGGGGTCTAGGTTTTATCCCGCCGGCTGTGGTGGAGCTCGCTCGGGCCGGGGCTGGCTAAGGGTCGGGCAGATCCCGGAATCGGGGCTGATGGGGCGAAGGCGCGGTGCTGAGGCGCGCTCAGGTGCGCGAGTGGCAGCGGGGCGGCCGCGCACGGACGGGCGGCGCCGCTCCGTCGGCACCTTCTGCCCTCGCAGGCGGCGGAGGCTGTATGTGGGCAGCTGGCAAACTGTCTGTCTCCTTCCTGGCTTTGGCTGTGTCCGGGGAGCGATTTGACTGCGTTCAGTTTCCCGAGTTTGGTTGATTTTTGGTGGGCTAAAGCAGTCGGTTTGTCCCTGAGAAAGTAAGCGGCGCTTTCCGTGCTCGGATTTGGTGCTGAGAGAGGAGACCCGAGTAGTTTTGCACAGCTTGACTTGTCACCCGAGCAGCTGGCAGGGGTGGCAGCGGGATGGAAAAATGGGAGCACGATTGGGCTGGCTGCCTGCGCAAAAGGATGGTTCAGTCAGTGCTGGAGCAAGGGCAGAACTGCCGCATATTAGCCAGAGAAGTGCTGGGCTTGGAACGTGTCCTGCAGACGGCCGCCTCTGCAGCCAGCTTTGCTCGCTGGCCTGGGCAGATGCCGAATTCTTTCCAAGAACTTGGCGTGGCGGTCTCCTAAAGCAGCAGGGCCTATCCTGTAAGTAGAAGAAAATCTTGACGAGTTCTCCTCAGTACTAAGACACAGTTTCTCATGAATAATAAGTCACAGTATATTTTGAATGCTAATTTATATTGCAGCTGTAGCATCTGGACTTTTGGTGTATTAATGACCATTTCTCTTATTTATGTTTTTAAGGAAAAGAACTTTTACCGTCCAGTTCTGTTCTTGTGAGAGCTTTGCAGGCCAGTTTGTTTTCAGCATTCAGAACAGTGCTTGCCTAATTCTTATTTTTTGTGGAATCCAGCTGGTGCTTGAGTGACAACTTTGTTTTAATTTTTTTTAAGCCACCTTCAGGATCGTTTCTGTAGCCTTTTATTTAAACGTATTAAGAACAGATTCCAAAGGGAATTGTTGCAAACTTGCCCTTTGTCATCCCATGTAAATAGGTTATGAATAGGTAGTGTTGCTGCAGTGTTTAAAAGTAGATATATTTATGAGGAAACTCTTTTAATCTGAATTCATATGTTGTGTTGCTGGTGAACACCATGTATTTTGTGAGTTAGTATGTTTTGCTTTCAACAAAACATCACAATCCAGGCTCAGTCATGGTGATCAAGACACAGAGGAGTATTTGCTTTCTGTGGTTTATATGTTGTGATTAACATGGTGAAGGTTGTGAAGCATGAAAAAAAAAATGTCCTGTTTGTGCTAGATGGGACTGCAGTAACTTATGCAGAGCAAATGTATGTTTTCCTATTTGTTGGACTGTTTCAATATACAAAGACATAACAAGTGTTAAATGTAATATCCCAAGGGGTCTCTTTTGTAATTTTAATCCAGTATAAAGACTCCTGCCACTTAGAGCCTGCGGAGTCAAAGTGGAATCAAATAAAAATTGATTGACGAAAAAGGTATCTTTGTATTCTTAAAGACAATTAGGTGTTTTCTTTCAATGAAATACTGGGCTAAGAACAGAATACAGTGGTATTTGCCTTCCTGAATTTTGTCCGAGCTATTTCTACAAAGGGATGGTTTACCAAAAATAAGTAACATAAAGACATCAGACCCAAGTGTAATAAACCCTTGTGAGTGCATATTCTTTCAGAAATCCCCTAACCACAGCTGTAGTGTAATCCTCTGTAGTCTAAGAGGTGCCCTTGGTTGCTGGTACCCTGGGCATACCAGGCTTGCAGAGAGAGCAGCAGCGCGAGGAAGCCGAGGCGTGGCTGTCGGAGCGCAGCAGCAGCATGCGCAATATTCCTCCCACAGTTGCCACTCTGTTGCCACGGAGGTAATGACTTTTCCCGTGTCATTATTGATCTATCAACAGTAAGAGCAATTTTGCAGTCTGATATTGTTTAGCAAATAGAGTAATATCTGCTGAACACTGAAAAAACTGCTATAAAATGCTGGAAAGCTTCTCAGAAATGTTGTGTACTTGGTTAAATAGAAGTACTGAATTTGTAGTTACTGTGGTTTTATGAGATTCGCCTATGAGATGTTAAGCTTAACTGAATGCTTTTTAATAAAATATTTAGTATGGTCAAAATACTTTTGAATTATGCAATATGCAGCACTCAGGGGATAAACACTTCTACGTACTGATAAGACTTAAATAAATTTGTTCATATACACTCTAGAAACAGATAATTATGTCGCCAGGTCCTGTCTTCTATTAGTCTAAGTGAAACTTCTTGTGTTTTCCAGATAATGATTTAAATCATCTGTTCAGAAGAAGCATTAATGGGATTTGCATAAGACTCCTGACATTTTGCTGATGTTCCTGTTAAGAAGACCTATCACCTCATTTTGAAAACACTAATAAAAGCACCAGTATTCAAACTGCAGGGTTTAAATGCTCACTGCAGGGTTTAAATGTTCACAGTGGGTTAACATCAGGCATTCTGCTGCAGAACAGAATTGTGATTTATAAGTTTGTGGTTTGTTCTCACATGGTGTACAAGGAGATGGACATACAAGAATGATACTGTCAGCAAAAAGGTTTTTATTTCTTTTGAAAAAGGGGAGGGCTAAGTTAGAAAGAAAAGTCTAATTTCAGCTTATCAGAACAGGACACATCTTCATGTTCAAGTCCGATACCTCTGTGTCATTCTGAGTTGTGATAGTGACTGAAAATGAAGTTCCTTGTTGTGCCGTAACAATTGAGCTCTATTTAGGTGAGGTTTTTTTGTTCATTGAAGTTTTTAAGTGGGATAGCTTGAGCTCCAGCATGCCAGGTAAATAATCTCAGTGTACCATCATGGTAACGTATAGCAGCACCAACACATCCTCAGTTTTGAGAGTATTATGAATGTTTAAAATGTGCTTGCAGTTCTGGGCTGCTTAAATCGTGAACACTGAAAACACATCTGTGAAATGTTCCTGGTTGTTTTGGAAATGTGCTAGTTTTAAAAAGTTGTGCAACAAACAGCAGAAACATAGAAATGCTGTGGGAGTTTTACAGGGAAACTGACATTTTGAAATCTGAACTGTACCTAGCTTCCTGTTTTGGGTGTAACCTGGAGATCTATAAGCAAGTCAGTTTCTGAACTGGATAGGTAATTAAATAATATCCATGGATTGATGGCATATTCCTAAGAGAGTGTTTGCATTGGCCTTAAAATACAATATTCCATTTCATAAATGAGAGAGCTGAAGAATATTTACAAAGTGACCTGTATCAGTTTAACTGATGGGGATAAATGTGACCTAAGGCAGTTTTTTATTTTAAACCATGTAAAGGTACTTTTGGCAGAGAGGCATCATGGTAATGATCCAAAGAGAAATGTCTGAGCCCTGCATTTAACAAATGGAATGGAAGGTCATGTTCAGGCTTGAATGTGAACCTTTAATGAAGGACTCTTTAGACGTCATTAACTTCTTAATGACACTGATATCACTGTGTGCCTCTTTGCACTGAGCTTTGTGCATTGTGACGCTATCTTGAAGCAAGGACAAGTAGTATGGCCTCTGTATTAGAGGAGCAGATTTATTCTTTGGGGTAAGCAAGCTGCTTGCAACTGTTCTGGCACATGAAAATCAGTTAGATCCTTGTTTCAGATTTGCAGATGGTAGTGGTTCTTGAGTCTTTCAGTATTACAGAGTAAGCATAATTTTATATGTATCTCTTTCCATGCAGAACTAAGAAATACTGCCTCTAATGACAACACCTCTGGCCTCTTTTCATCCAGGAGTTAGGAGTGCTAAAATCTTCAATGGGCCTTAGAAAAAGATTGGGCAAGCTCAAGAAAAGAATTGATCTGCCAAATATAAAGACACCATTATGGTATTGAGTCCTGGGCCATAGAAGGCTAGGTGTCACAGCATATGCCACAGTGGGGACAGCCACAATACACAGGGTATCGCCATACAATTTCATAAAGCTTCAACCCACACAGAGTAACACCATATCACTTTAGAAGGCTTCAGGCATCTGCCCGTGCAGAGTAACATCACTTCGGAAGGCTGCAAGCGTCTGCTCATCTTGTTTAGATCCTTTTGTACCCCTCATGTTCATGCATTGCACCTGAGTGCCCTGTGTCCTCTGGTATGGTCAGTGCACCTGGGCACTGCATGGCTCATTGCTGTCAGTGCTGTTCACCTGCTTCTCACAGCTGTACACTGGGGATGAGGCTTGGCTGCAGCCCCACTCCCAGTTACCACAAACTACTTGCAGCTAGGGAGTGGGATTGGAACTACGTACATGTCTTGTTCTTTGCTTCCTGTGCTCACTTTTGTCCAATGTCACGGAAATGGTGTGTCTCTGGTATGGTAATTTGTACAACTGTAATGTACTTAAAGTGCTGGAAGTGTCTTGGTCTTGGCTGTGAAAACCCCAGGGCACTCATTGCCTGTAAGAAAGATTCTCGTGCCCCAGTTAATGCCAGAACGCTGTCACAGCAGTGGTGCTTTCACTGGCTCAATTTTAAAAACGTGCAGGTGCAGTGAGGCACAAGAGCATCCGCGATTACCGTGCGTGTCGTGACCACGAGGGGGCCCTGGCAGCTTCGGTCTGGCTGAGCCCGGACTTACACTGGTACAGGGGCAGGGCTGATAGCTTGGTGCCTCAGTGTTCAGCACTTCTGAATTACCTCTTCTATATTTTCATTTTATTACAGTATTTTGCTGTGTAATTTTGAGAAATTCATCTTGTTATAAAAACTCAACATTAGCCATTTGTTCTCTGTGGCAGAAGACATTACCAAGCAGGTCATCACATGTGAGTTTTCATTTGTATGAACAATTTCCCCAAGTAAAAAGTTCAAGAGTTTTGCACACATCACTGTATTTCTAAAGTAGAAGGAATTGGTATGAAAAATCTTAATGATAAGATCTTTTGTATATCTTAAGCTTGGTATTACAGTATTTCAATAAAGATTTTCTTTCTCTGCACACCCTTTGTTCTTTCAGTTTTTTCTAGGAATGTGTGTTTGTGAAATCAACACCTGCTTTAATCTTGCTGTGCTTTAGACCCTGCCTGCTGACCACAGATACTGAGGTCATGTTTATGTTAAAATTGTCCATGAGTACAGTAGGACTGTATTATCACTTGGTTGGCAGTTTTTATGTGATGTGAAGAAAATCAGACCCAAACATATAGCAGAAACTTAAAATGGGAGAGGAGGAGTGGGTGGATTGGGCATACTTGCATTTGTAATGTGTGGACTCAAAGATGGAACAGAATCAAAGTATCTCTTGTGGGAGGTAAAAATGCAAATTCTTAAAGGGGAGCCCAGAAAATTGAATTTAAAGATTGCTGCAGTTAATAATAAAAAAAAAAAAAAAAAAAAAAAAAAAAAAAAAAAAAAAAAAAAAAAAAAAAAAAAAAAAAAAAAAAAAAAACAAACAAAACACCACAACTTGTAAAACCAGAAATAACAATATACAGATGAGAGAGGTTTGGGGTTTTTTCTTATGTTCTAAAATGTTTTTATTCTCTGTTTTTGAAGTATGTGTATGTTTTGAAAATCTGACTTTTCAAAGGATACTTCCAATGCTGCATATAGATACAGTGATCATTACTCTCAGTGTGCACATGCAGTGATTTTATAACTGTATCACACAAACAGGTTTTTTGGGGGGACAGTTATTACCTATGTGCTTTAGAGGGCAAGAATTTATTTCACAGAACAGGCAGCTTCTCCACTAATGCAAGCTTATGTGTCTTTCCTAAATTTCCTTTAAAATAATTGCTTTCTAATGCTTCCCCTTAAGTTAATTTCTTGCAATTCAGTGATTGAAGTTTCCATCCTAGAGCACTTTAAGTGTTTCCTCTTAAGCTCATAGTAGCCTTATTTCCTTGTTAATATCCATGGCAGCTGAGATTGCTCCCCAGCCTCAACATAGCTAGCAACTTGCAGGATGAAGAACTTGGCCCTGAAAGTTGCGTGTCATTTAATTGTAGCTCTTCGTGGGCTTGTATAAAGGCCTGCTTTATAATCAGCTTGACTTCATTTTAAACAGACAAACAAAAGCATTTTCAGCTCTGAGTTTCAGAACAATCACTTTCCTTGTCACAGTGATGCTCAGATCACTCTGAATCATCCTTGAACCCCCTTTCTTATCAGTAGCCCTTTTGCTCTTTGTTCACATATTACTTTTCCATCCTTGCTAGCCTGGGAGACAGGAGGAGACAAAAGTATACCCTCACAGCTGCTTTTTGTCAGTGTACTTTAGTTTGAGACAATCAGAGTAAGTAGATCTGTGCTCTTTTTTAGTTTCATGCTTGACTGTTGTGGTGAAGGATTCAAGGTCTGTGTGCCACAGAAGGAGGAAAGTAAAATTAAAGACTTCCTAGATTGACAGTCCTTTGAACACTGGCATACAACATCCCTTAAAAGACTAGATCTAAACAAATTGTTCTACAAACCTATCATATCTAGGAAAAGGGGACTAATATTTGTGAAAATGTAGCTCCAGGTTACTGAGTCTTTGGGAAATCAGTATAACAAAACTGTTTGTGGTGGGAAGGGAAGCAAGGAATAATTGTAATTATGGAATGTCATATATCAACAGTTGTCTTTGCTCTCTTTTTCAGGGGACTTCAGAGAATATTTTCTTAAACTAGTTGTTGGCAACTTGTATAATTAAAAAAAAAAAATTGTGGAGAGTAGTAAGAAAGAAAACCTACTCCAGTTGAATTGAACACAGGAAATTTGGTTTCAAATCCTGATTTTCATGGAGTCTTGGCTTCTCCTGGCTCATTTGCTGAGTGCCAGTGGGGGCATTGCTGTTAGTTACAAAAGTTAGCACCACATCTTCCTAAACCTACAGCCTTCCATTTTGCTGCTGCTTCCTTCACACTTTTCAAAGCACACCAAAAAGGCCCTCTATAGATACTGGAAGGTGCTGTAAGTTCTCCCTGGAACCTTCTCTTCCATTAGGACTCTGACTGTGTGTTGTTCACTAAACTACAGTGTGTTGCACCTGGTTGTGGTAGTAATTTATCAGGACTGGACTTCTAGGCCAGCATGGAGAGTTTATTGGATGTGACCAGACTTTGAGTGTATCACACCCTTTGTGAACTTGAAAATGTGGTAATTCTTCTTGAACATAATTGGAATTACAGTGTCCCATTTGTCCTGCATTTCTGTTCCTTAGAGTTGAATTTGCTCTCACTCAGAATAAGCTCAGCTTTCCCCAGCCCCTCTTGATACCTGAAGTCAGTTGGGATGAGAAAGATGTTATTTTTCTGCCAAATTTAATGAAAAAAAAAAAAAAAAAAAAAAAAAAAAAAAAGATAAAAAAAAAAAAAAAAAAAAAAAAAAAAAAAAAAAAAAAATTGGCTGAACTCTGAAAGTGACAGGATGTCAGGACTGATTCAGTGGCACAAAGCTGCACTTTCCTGTGGAGGTAGTCAGTCTGTGCTAAGGTGTGAAGCCAAATCAGAGAAAAGGTAAGAGTCCAGCATATGCAGCAGGGAAAATATGAAATGCTGGGTTTAAGTCCATGTGGTCTCCAGGTGAATAAAAGACAGGAAGTTAGCCTGGTTTGCCAGTGTGGTCTTTCACCTAGTGCTCTGGAGGGTATGTTGCTTTGGTATCAGCTTTTAGAGTTCTTGATTCCTCACTAACTGAGGAGAGAGTTCTTGTGTAGCAACTCCCCCCACCATCCACAAAAGCTTTCTCTCAAGCAATGTGAAATGTCTTGTAGCTATAAAACAATACACAAAAAATTCTGAGAAGCTCCTATATTGAAACCTCTCATGCTAAAGATATGTCACTGGCATGCTGCACAGAAATGTTACTCTGTCAACAAATGCTGTCCCTCCCACCCTAACTGCCATGTGACTCATTATTTGAGTAACAATTTTGTATTGCTCTACCCAAGCAAACATAAATGAAAACATCCTAATATCTTGTAATACTAGTTTGTCATCAGTTATGAGCATGAATAAATGGGTGTGTTACACTAATAAGAGAGTGCAGCTACCCTGCAGCATTTTAAGTGGTTCTCTGATACCCAGCAGACATCATGCAGGCCCTCCTGTGTAGTAAACCATGCCAACACTTTTGTAGTATTTGGTGCTTTCCACCCAGTCTCTTGGGCATTCTGCTCATCACAGGAAATGCCTGAAAATGCTATATATTCACTTACTAAATACTTGTGGTTTGGTTCATAGGCCAGGCTAACTGCTTCTAAAAATATATTCCTTTCTTCCAAAGAAAGAGAGCTAGGGCTGCTGTTCTTTCCTTTTCAGAAGCCCCTCCACCCTTCCACATTGCTTTCAGTCATTCTAACTTCTCCTTTCTCATTTAGGTGTGGTTTGTGGGCAGTTTTTTATTGTTTGAGTAATGCACTGAATGTTCCTTTACTTAATGCCTGCTGTTTGCCTGTGTGTAGGGATTTTTTTAACTCAGCACGTACAAGCTGTTTGAGGGAGTAGAATCAGAGCCATGAAAGCCTCCACATGGGGAAATGCAGAAAAAGAGATTAATTCAATCAATTTTTAGATACAGTGATGTACTGTCCCCCACCAGCAAGCTTTCTGAATACAAGGGCTTTAAAAGGTCTAGGTAGGCAAAGTATCTTCCTAGGGGGTGATTTCCTAAGGAATTAATTGCTGTCATTAACAGCGTTCGTTCGTCTACTCACCATGATAACTGAGCCTGCTTTCTTAAGGCAAATTCACAAGTAAGATTTTATATTCTCTGTCACCTACCTATTCTAGACACATTGCTTTGGAGTGTAATCCTTTTAGATTAGAACCATTAACCACTCTAAACCATTAGATTGCATCCATTTCCTCACACTATTCCAAAGGTCATTGAGAGATAGTCAGCTCTGAATTACCATGGGCAGGGGCAGTTGCATAGGCATAGATTCAATTTTACACATTGTCTTTATGAACTTCCTCCAAATAAATAGTCTGTCAAAGCCAAACTAGCAAATAAATTATTTTCCAAGTTAGATGAAAGGCTTGCCTAGTAAAACAAAGAGATTGCAGCATTCAGTTGCCTTCTCAGTGACAATTTAAAAGGTCACAGTCACCCCAAATTGTTCCACTACAGTATATACTGTGGGCAGTCATAGCTTCAAGGTCAAAGCTAGCTGTAAAAGTGCAATCCTTACCATGAAGTTCTGACAAAGCTTCCTGTGACCTTTTCCACTGCTGGTGAGGGATAGGGATTCCTGATGCTTTGGGAGTAATATAAGTACTGAGCCATTCCAGTTAAGAGTGTGTTGGCACATGGATGGCAGATCACCTCGCTGGCTGTAGGCAGAAATGAGCCCATGAAAGCCCAGAGAACACTGCTGGTGAAGCAGCCATCCCACCCGGCCTTAGAGAGCTCTCATCCCCTGCCTCTCGCAGAACTGGAGAGCTCATCCTTCACTTTTGAACTATGTATCTCGAGGCCCTTGGCCACAGAACTGTTAGGTGTAATCAGAGATTTTTATCGCAAATAGCGCGTTTTCCTGCTCGTTAGGCAGATGAACCGCCCAACTTCCCAGCAGCAGAGGGCAGCAATATAACCCCTGCCAAAGAGGATGGTTAAGTGCTTTATGAAGTACAAGCTTGTTACATGCTCAGTTTGTTTATATTATTGTTCAAATATGAAAAAGCTGTTCATTCTTTCCTCTCTCCCTCCCAGTGGCTCAGCACACAGACTCATGATTACAACTTTCTGATACTGCATTCTTTCCTCTTCCTCTTTCCCTCGCAGTGGCTCAGCACACAGACTCATATGATTACAACTTTCTGATGCTGCAGATGGAGCACAAGATGTTAATGACTGGCTTCTCTCGCTGGGCTACAGAACCGACGCTGTGGCTGGCAATGCACCTCCACTGCTGCTCCTTTTGCATAACTGAGCACACGCAGCAGACTTTGTGCCTGAATCGGTATTACAGTGAAACCAGGTTTTGTTTCCTAAGTTTTCGTTGATTTTCCC